ACTTGTAAATTTATAGGACTTTTACCTGTGTCCTTATACTTAAAGATATGTCATCACTTTCTTTATTAACTTTCTGCTGTCAGAAGCATAAAGCATTTGACTCAGCCCTGAATTCTTCTAACTGCTGCAGTGTATATTTTCCACATTTGTAAATCTGCTTGCTGTCACCTCTGAACAGCTAGCATTTAACGCTTTCTAGCATTTTTTTCCAAAAACTGCTGTTGGTGATTTATTTCTCTTAGTCTCTTAAAATCTAAACTTTTAACCTGTCCAAAACAGAGTGGCTTTTGGAAAAAAAAGTCCCAGCCCTGAATATGTTTACTGAGTTTCTGTATGTGTCAGCACAGTTCTCCAAAAATCTTCCGTAAATTTTTGCTACATCTTCAGAGCATGTGATGTCGCTAGGCAAAGACAATGCAGAATTGCATTCCCCAAATGGCATTATTCCCTAGGCAAGTCTGAGGATCTCTGGGTGGAAGTGTTCTCCATTCCTACTCTGTTTCCTTCTCTCACAACACACAGTTTTCTGAGTGTGTTTCATGATTCTGTAGAATAGCCATCCTGATTTTTAGCATGATCTTCTGCTTTTTCCAGTATAAATTATTTTGTCTTTTCTCACATCTAATTACACAACTCAGATGCATGCATTGTACATATGATGAGATTGGGCAAATCATACTTCCAAGCACTCTCTCCATTATTTGGTTGTTTTAAAGCTTTTTTTTACATTTTAAACCATATGAAGATATCCGCCGCCTCTTACGAAATGTGCATGTATATATATATAAAAATATATATACAAATGATGCTATATGGACACACACACAGAGGGTACACTTTGAAAGGAAAATTATAAACCATGTTGGGTTATTTTATTTTTCATATGAAAAGAAAAATGGGGACTCTGTCTTCAAAATTCATAAAAATGCATGTTTGTTTATATAAAAGCCTGGAGAGGCTCATTCCATATAATTCCTGTCTCTTGAGTAAATATATTAGTCATTCTTAAGGAAAAAAGTATTATTGACTTGAGTGATTAGAAAAAACTCTTTCAGAATCAGTTTAGCTGATAAAGTAAATAAATACTTAAATGGCTGGAGGCAGAAAAAGAGGAAGAAAAACCAGTCAAGCACAACTTATTTTGTGTCCTTGATATGTGTGTAGGTATTAAAAATCAAGCTTTGTGGAACATGTATTAAATAATTATAATTTCTACACATAAATAAATACTGCATATAGGTTACAGACAAAATTCAAAGAAAGGGCATATTCAGGAGTGTCACATCACTAGAAGTGATCATTGTGTTTTGAGTTTATCTTAATATAAAAGTTGAAAACCATGGGCCTATTTTTGTACACATGAAGGGGCAAGTTGCATTTGCTTTTGTTGGGTTTTTGGGGCTTTGTTTTTTCTTCCACTGGGGAAAGTGTCTTAATTCTTCTAATTATTTCCAGTGTGTTTTAGAATAAAAAAATGTAATTTTTTTTGCATAACACAGTTTCATAGAACCAGGCACCATTTGGTGTTAGACCCACAAGGTAGCATTATTAACATGGTCAACACTGAAGAGGCTGACTTCCCAAACCTTATTCAAACACCATTGAGGTGGAATATATATAGAGCTGTGAATTTTAGCATTCACCCTTTAAGGCTGATGCTTGTTAATATTAAGTTATATAATTTTTCAGAAATGCTTTTCTGTTCATCAGAGCATTGTTTAAGTCTGAGATAATTGCTATATCGAATATTCCTGCCCTCTGTCAGTACATAGATAATAATGATGTAAATGCATTCACCCTTCTGCTTCTCATAATTTAGCTGTAATTTTAGAACATAATTTTATGCATCTCTTTGGGAATTTCAGTTAGAAAAGGCAACACCACACAGTCTTTTGTAGGACTTGGGACTGCACTGTACTAAACATTGTCCGTACATACCGACAAGGAGGATGGGATAATCCCCAAATAATTGATGCTGTTAAGATTCTATGGCAATAACACCATTACTGGCAACATGCAACACCCTTCAGTTTGTGTATTGGTCTTAATTCATGCATCTGCACTACAGTGTATCTTACAAACCTGACCTTTTCACATAACTGTAGTAGCATCGTCAATGATTTGCATTATAAGTAGTCTGGAAAGATCTATACAACACTGTTGCACTAAAAGCATGAATCTGCCACACGCATGAAGGTTTTAACTGGCAGGAAGGCATCAGAGTCATAGGGGAACTTGAAAAATAATAGCACGCAGATAGCAATGGTATCAAGCCTGTAATTAGCTGTACTGGGCTAATGTACCAGGCACCTTCAGTTGTAAACCAAGTGAGGAGACATGTCATCATATCATTTATAAGTCTGTATTTTCTTTATTTATTAATGTTTTTGTTTGACTGTCTTGACCTTCCAGAGAAAAATCAAGTTTCACTGTCATCAGTGAATTTTCTGAGTAGAACAAGGATATGAAGAGGATCTGTGAATAAAGGTGTCAATTTATGTTTGCAAACTTATTGTGAGATTATGTTACCTCCGTTATGTCTCTTTGTTCAACTTATGTTGTTATTTTAGCCCAAAAAAGGCCAAAGATCATCAACTAAAGTGCATGTAGAGTAAAGCTGCTCCTGTAAAATTGATGATCCGTCCAATTATTTATCTATAGAGGCTGCTGGGAAGAAACGCAACTATCTCAGTTCTCAGACCCCTCTGCTAGGTTGAACTTCATGGCTGAAGGTTTAATCCCTAAGTGTCATATCAACAATTCATTCTGTGATATTCTGGCTGACATGCTTTCCTTCCTTATTTATTGATGTCTTCAGTCATTGACAATGAGAGGAAAATACACTATTCGTCAAAGTGATGGTGTTTTACCCTCACTTACAGTTGATGCTGCTGTCACATTGATGGTTGAAAAATAAACTCAGTCATTATAAAAGCTAAGAGTGTGAACTTGCCAGTGACAGGAAGAAGATAAAAAAAAAAAAAAGAACCAAAAACCACAGTAACTTGCTTAAAATTGGTGTAATAAAAATATAGCTGTCTTCTGTAAAGATATTTTTGAGCTTTGTTTGTGAAATACCAAGCCATTTTAACCATTTACTTTATAGTTATTCCTTTGAAGGAAAATCTGCTGCTCGCACTCCTTTATGTCTGTGCAAACATACATATAATTTTTAGCAATAAATACTTGTTATCATTTCACCTCATGCTACCTCGTTAGTAATTTGTTGATTTTTTTCCTCTCCATTTTTAAGGGATTTTGCTTTGTGTTTTTCTCCCCCAGATTACATTGAATGCATGTATCTGTTTGTGTATTACAGTATTTTGAGTGCTTTGATGAGGAATAAGCTCAGTATAATTTCACCCAGTAAATCCTTTGACATGCAAACATAAGCAAAGCTCTCTTGAATCGCTTTCTTAGGCTACCATTTGTATAGCTGTACTGCACCTTACAGCTTTTTTAACTCAATAACCACATATCTTACCACATTTCACCTTTGGGAGGCATTGTATATACAGCTAAAAGTAAAGAGCAGCAAGCCAAGAGGGACAAGATAGCATAATGAGGATATCAATTTGTGGTCAGATATCTGAGGAAATATTTATCTTACTTGTACTGTACTTGGCAACAGATAGAGAAATATATATGTAGTGAATTTCCTTAGACTTCATCTGGCAGAGTGTGTACGTTGTGATAAATGGATTCAGAAAAAAAATTGTCCCAAATTTTTAAAGTTTGACATGATTCTACTTCTAATTGTTTCCTGAAAATGGACTGTATCTATTAAAAACAAAAATAAGTTCTGTTTGCTCTACTAATAGAGTGGTGAATTTTTAATGGTTAATTTTCTTGAGGCTCCTCAAATAATGACATTTGAAGATCCCACTCATTCACCAGAACAAAAGCAAGATGTGAGTTTTGTTTATGAAAAAAAAATCACAGTTTTGTAGTTTTACTCAGTTTTGGTGCATATCTCTGACCAGCTAGCTAAGTAGCCTAAATGAATGTGCACAGAAATGCTGGTTGTCTCACATGTGCTGTGTGTCCTGAGGCAAGCTACAGCTGCTTCAGCTTCTTGTGTCTGTTTCCCCATCTGTAAAATGGGAATGATTTAACTTATTTTTCTCCTTCGGGGAAATACAGGGAGGGTTTCTTAATGTTTCTGTAGAGCTTTGAAGATTAAAATCTCTTCTCTATCCTTGCTGCTAATATTTCATTGTTAGAGGAGCATTTGACTGAAGCTGTTTGAAGAGTAAAATTTTGGCATCTTGTGTTGTCTTTGTACCATATCTTGAGGCCTCTGCATTATAATTTTGCAACCTTTGGTTCAGCATAAACTGCGGAAGCAAACAACCCCTATGTAAACAAATAGTGATGACAGTAGATGAATGTATATGTCTGCTGTTAAAAACATCAGGAGATCCATTTCAGCATATCTCTAAGCTTGCCAGAAATAGTCCATGATGGAGCAAAACAGACACCAGTAACTGAGCTTAGCCTGAAATAGCTTTTTTTTTTTTTATGCATCAGTGGTAAATGGTGAGAGGCACAGAGAGTGGTTTCCTTCTAATATGACTTCTCAGTGTCTTTAGAGGTATAAGGATGGCTGGTGTTTTAGCAAGGGCTTCCTGAGTTCCTTGTGTTAACAAGGAGTGGGCTTAAGGAATGTGTGGGAAGTATGAACACGCAACACTTAGAGAAAGTCTGAAAGTCTTCTTGCCTTTGTTTCACAGACCAAAGGTCAGCGTCAATTCCCAGGGTCTAGACAACCTCAAGAGATTGCAGGGGGTCAGCTTTTGGTTTGGTTGTTGCTTCTTCAGTTTTATGTTGCTTGAAAACCTTAAAATTTAGTATAATGATGTCTTCCTCTTTGCAGTTAGGAGGAGTGATTAGGCTACCACATGCATTAAATGATGTTGTTAAAATCTAACCTGGCATTTTGAGGCCTTACAGTCACAAGCTATATTTTTCATTATTTACATTTTGGCTTTTTAATGCAGAGCAGATTGGACAGGAGATGCTGGAAAACCTCAGCCATGACAGAGAGAAGATCCAGCGTGCTCGAGAAAGGGTAAGTTTGATAATAAGTAATTGCTGGTCTTGGGTTTTATTTGCTTTGGGCAAATTCTCTGTGCATGCAAAAATAATCCAGCATATTGATCAGTTTTATATAAATCGGCTACTATCGTGAGATATAATTACCATCTGCAGTGAAGCACTTAAAAAGTGTGTTATATGGGCCCAATCCTGCAAAGCCTCTTCACGATGAAGTTGTCAAATCCGCTGTTGGAAGCAACCTTTCTGTCACTAACATCACAGTTAGGTCAGTCTTCTGTCTTTTGAAGGGTTTGTTGTAGTGTCCGTTTCACTGACTTCTTGAACTTCCTATGAAAAAAGTTCAGTACCATGACTGAGCTTCTAATGGTTGATCACCCTTACTCTTTGTAGCTGCAAATGCTAATAATTGCCTCTTTAGACAATTCTGTGTGAAAGAACAGGTAGTGGTTTCTTACACTACTTCTCTTTCACTGCAGTCAAAAAAACATATCTATGTCATTTTTGGCTTATGTTGCCTCCATAGGGATCAACTCTATTCTGCAGAGTTACTGAAGATGCTCAGAAGTCCATCCCATCCAACGCATACAACTCTGAACTTCAGTATAAGGAATTTGCCTCTCTGGTTCTGGTTTCTGCTCACAGAACCTCAAGTGACTGCACTTGTGACTTTCTGTCCATGACACACTGACCAGATATTTTCCTGTGCATCCAGTTTTGCCCAAGCTAAGTCCTTGTACATGCCTCTATCTGACCAATGCCACTTAAGAAATCTCCTTTGTCTGTCCCAGGGAGTTTTTTAACCTGGATAGCTCTGATTGGTAAAGCTTCATACGATGGCTTCAATGAGGCATTTTCTGTCAGCTGTACCAGTTACTTTCTGAAGTCCCGGGCATTAGTTACTTTAAAACATTAAATATAACTTAATCATTAATTGTAACTAAGAATTGTGAGCATTTACCAAGTGTTGTTCAGGCAATTTTGTGTGTTATTTCACCTCCACTCATCACATCCTTAGTGACTGCTGAGTCTGAGATGCTTTTCTGCTTCTAGCTGGACAAGTAAAGCCTAGGCAATGGAGATGAATAATGTGTATCCATTTCTGCTGATCCTAAAAATCCTCAGGAAGAAGAGAGTGTAGTTCTGATGACTCTGTACACATGGTTCATGGCATAACTTCTCCTTTTCTATGCTTTTCACCTGAAGGGCAAATTTTTTTGATGGCAATACCTGTAAGCTGCAAGGAGCAAGACTGAAAATAAGGGTATTCTAGGAAAGTGTATCCCATCACAGTTCAGCAAAACTCCTCTTATCATAAATGGAAGATCTCAAATTCCAAGTTTGTGTCATATGCCACTTAAAATATTTTGTTTAGGGAATTCAGAAAAGTTCTCCAGTGGAGCCACATGAGTGCATCTGTCCCAGCTGTCTATATACTCAGATGTACACTCAGGGATGATCTTGGATAACTTGCCAAGTTTTCTGTTTTGTGGAGTTTTTTTAAAGACTGGGACAGAGGTTACTCTGTCAATGCATAATAGCTTTACACTGAATACAGAGTTGTTATCTAATCAACCAGGGAACAGACTTCTCATCTGAAAGTCAAATGTTGGCTTGAGTATGATGGTCAATTCTTAGCAGTTCAATGTTGTGAAAATTAGGAAGATTTTCTTATGAACGAAATTTAAATGAGTTAGTGTCTCTATAGTTTGGTTAAATTTACATATATGAGTTTTCCTGTCTGTAGAGTAAAACATTTGAATGAAGATAAATGCAAGACGTAGCTAGTATCATTTTGAATAAATGAAGATCACATGCAGTGCAAAATACATGTGTAATAACTGTTGTGAGGAGGCATTCTCTAAACTACTTTTTTTAAAAAAAAGCCAATGAGAAGGAATAAAAGCTCGGCCTCAGGAGTCACATAGGTTAACTGGAGTATAAAGGACTCTAAGATTCAACATTTTTTAGGAAAGCCTCAAATTAAAAGTTGTCTAAGGCAAACATATCAACATCAGCAACTTGTTCATCTTCCTTACTTTCTTATTATTAATCCTAATATTATTTTTTAAAAGCTTTCTTAAGCACCGTGTAGATTCATCATTGCTAATAGCAAAGCATCTTTCAAAATGTTTTCACTGCAGCAGTTCTGTGAAACAAGGAAGTGCCATCATATGCTATTTAGCAGGTTTACATGCTACCAGTTCTTTGGCTTCTTCAATGCACTGGTATTGGTAGGCAAATGATGGAAGAACTACCATCAGATATTTCAGTTTTAAATAAAAACAAACTTAGAGTTTGAAACTCTTTATGTTGTTTTTTCTGCCAGTGCAGGAAGAAAAGGTGGTTTTTAAGTGTTCTCTTGGGAGGTAGCTAGAGATCTTCCAACTATGTGTGTACGTGTTTGTTTCTTTTCAACATTTCTTTTGCTTATTTTGTGGGGCTTTTTATTACCATAAAAATATGAGGTCGTCTTGCTTAGAGGAGTTTGACAAACCTCTAAGATTCAGCTTCCCCTTCCTAACTATCAGTAGAGATTCTAGCTGTCAGGTAGAATCCTGCAGCAAGAGAGGAAAGTTAGGATCAAACATATAATAGTAAAAAGGAGAGAGCTACTTTTCTGTGAAAAGGGAGGAGAAGCCCCAAGTGTTAAATGCATCTTTATGAATAATAAAAGACCAGTGTAAAGCATACATTTGTACTTCAGATTCCCTTCTAGCATAGATAAGAAGTTGGCTTTTTAATGAGCCTTTTAAAAATTATTGTGACGTTTTTTCTTCTGTTACTTGTGTCAAACTGGGCTAAACTGCTTTTCTGGAGCTTGAATTGTCTAGATGAATCAGGAAAAAATGAGGGAATGGCCTCCCTGGAATATAATGCTCATCTTTGTTCCATCATGGCACATAATTACAGAGATCTGAGAGTCAGTGCAAGCCTTCCCACTGAATATGATATTGCAAAGAGCAAGTCTTGGTTGGTGTTATCCAGTCCCAGCTTTTACTTGGTATTTTCTTAGTACCTTTTACAAGAACAAGGAGGAAATTTATGCAAAAAGGTTATGTGTCATTGATTGCAACTACTGATTTCAGTAATAGACATTAAATCTGGTAGCAAATATTTACAGTATTGGGCTCCAGAATAGAAACAGGTTTTAATATTGCTGCTATGCATATATTCAAGATATAATAGTGGTTTGTTATGGTGAAGGTGATTTGTTATTGGAAGACTGCCACTTTTCTTGGCAGGGTTACTGTTTTGATGGATTTATAACACAGGATACTTTTTGTCTTCTACAACAAAGTTTCTTTAGTAAGAAGTCAATGAGTCAGGTAATCCTTCCAATCTGATTTGATAATGAAGAGGTAAATATTCAGCTTTCATAAGGAGAAGAATGTTTTTATGTATATACACAGAGCTATGTTTTGGGGCATGTTAAAAACAGTGGTCCCTGCTATTTCATAACTGACAATCGCTATATTATCATTTACAGTAGATTTTGACGTCCCACTGGCTCTGAGATCTCTAAAAAGTCCAAAGATATCTCTGCTTCAGCTATCACTAGCAAAAGAGACAATAAGATTGTAACTCTATTCTTCCTCTACACTTCTTCATCTCTAGACATCATTTTGTGGGAGACTAAGAAATACAAAAATAGAAGGAAGGTTTTAATCCCTTTTAAATAACAATAGAAATATTTGCTCTTTTTTAATATGAAGTTCATTTGCTTCATAAATTTTCATCTGCCCAATTTCATTTTTATTCAGTTGTGCTTTTATCTATTTAGCAAAATTTTTGAGAGCTATAGAACAAGTCAGCTAATTTAGTTTAGCTGTAAATGTAGGTTTCCCATATCCTAATAAATGACTAAAAATAGTACTTTCAGTGAATGAATGATCCTTACATGCAAAAATATATATTGTACAGCTGTGCCTTATGTACATACCATATACTGTTCACAAAGTATTTGGGCATCCATCCCACTCATGGCTGCTCTAAGGTCAGTACAAGTTTTGAATTTAAAGGGCAGTATAAGCATATTTCTTTTACACCAAATCGGAAGAAGGACACTGTTCTGTATTACTGCTTTTTCTTTAAACTACTGTCTTTGCAAAACAGTGAAAGAAAGATATGTTTGGTTTTCATTTCATAAAGCATCAGGAACATAGCACATGGCTGTGTCTTAATCCCTTGATGCTTTCAGTAATATACATAACCAATAAGCATACACACATCACTGGGAATTCGGGATACCAATTTTTATAGCTTCTACCTACAACCCTTTATTTTTAAAGCTTTTTCTCTTTATCCTGGTTCATCTTTGTGGCCTCAATGTCTTATCTTCCATGGGTTTCATCTTTATGTAAGTGAAAACCAGACAAATCATATTTAAATTTCAGCGCTTTGGTGGCTTTCTTACTTGTGGGTTTGTTGTGGGCTAGACCTGAAGCTGATTGACTCAAATGATAGTAGAAATATCTGTCCTTTGTACAGAATGGAGTACATGTACCTTTTGCCTTTAATGGGACTCTTTTCTCCCCAGCTTAGAGAAACAGATGCAAACCTGGGGAAGAGTTCCAGGATTTTGACAGGAATGTTGCGAAGGTAAGGCCAAGGTAGGGACATTTCTGCTCTTTCTTTTCTACCTCTCTCCCTCCATTCCTTTATTCTTAGTTTTAATTCAACCTCAGCATTTTGCTGACATACCTGACTTCTTTTACACAGGCTGCTATGTAGAATGTCTTCAAATGAATGGTGGTAGTGAAGCAGGCATGATTAGACAGAAGGCTTTATCACAGCTATGGAGAATTTTCTGTAGGCTGAGGAATTACCCCATGCTCAATCATTTCTCATCTTTGTTTCGTTGTATTTGGGGTTTTTTTGTGTGTGTTCTAAAATTAAGCTTTTTAATGATGATTTCCTGTGTTCCTTATTCTTGAGTGATTCCGGTATTTTCAGAGGGTTTACCTGTTAGATTTTATGTGAGAAAATTTGTAAATGTTTTGGGGAAATATAAGTTTACACACAGAGAAAATGTTAAGGTGATCAATTCTGTCTGAATAGATAGAGCGTGTTTCTTCCATGTTTTCATTGTTATGAAAATTTTCCCTGGGATTAGAAAGGAAAAATTTGCAATATCCTAAAAATCTATGTGGGACTGCAGGAAGGGAGTTATCCAGTGATTACTACCCACCTTAATTTTACACTGGTACCTTCCTAGAAAGATTTTTTTAATTAGTAGCATCTCTGGCTATGTGTCTTTACCCATTGAAATAGCACCTGAGCTTCTCTGTGATGTCCATATTTCTGTATATATTAAACTTCCTGAAGAGGAAAAGCATCCCTCTAGTAGACAGTGTTGGGTGCTATGAAAACACAGTTTTAAAGGAGTTTAGAGCATCCTCAGAAGTGTTCAATATGAAATTACCCTTGCCATGGACTTTCATGTTGCATATTTGCTTAATGCAATTTGCTTATTAAAAAAAAAAAAGTTTTAGCAGAGTTTTTGGTTTGTCACTTGGCTTGGAAAATATCAAAACCAGAATTTAGTAAGTTGTTCTTTAGTCTCCTCAAAAAAATATCCTTGTTAGTTCTTTGTATACCCAGTTGACAAAGGTTAAAACGACTGAACCTCATGCCTTCATTCCACAGATTTCTTACAATTCCAACTCCAAACTGTAACATATAAAATTCTCTGATTAAGAGTAATATGTAAATGACACAAGCTAAATTCAAAATCCATGGAGAAAGGAAGTGGCAATTGAAAGGGATGGTTCAGTGCCTGTAGACAATCAAAATAAACTATAAAAAAAATGAACGAAAGAAAAGACACAACCAAACCCAAGTCTCCCCAGGAAGGGCTCTGCGACATGAGCTGTAACGAATATTCTGCATATGTCTCCATTTTGTCAAATCTCATTAAAGGGGTTTCTTGCTTTATGTCAATTGAGCTGTCCAAAAATCATTCATCATTTTAGTGTAAAAAAAAATCATGCAGTTATTTAAATAATATCATATTAATGTTAAAGTTCAGCTGTCATTTAATAGTATAGCTTAATCAGACATAGCATTTAGGAAAAACAGTTTTTTCGGGCTTTACTTGGCTTTCAGGTTGGCAGATTCAAATAAGGATTTATGGGTTTCTAAACCAATGTATTCTTTCCATGTTTATGCTTGAGGTACCTCAGCCTTTTTTGCAGCACCCTGTAGTCTGTTATTTTCAATAAAATAAAGTATCTCCTCATATTGTGTTTGAATACATTTGCAAGTAATTTGGAGAAGCTGAAACAAAAACATATGCTGTAACCTTTGACTTTGTTTTGTGTTTGGGAATCACAGTCAGGAGTCCTAGTTTATAAGTATTCCATAAACCAAATGAAAAATATGATCTTTCTGAAATATACTTGGGCTTTTCTTTTCAGACAAAAGGATTATGTAGTCAAACACCAAGATGGCATGTTTCTGTGTATCAGAAAGGCACTGGATTTCCTTCTTTAACAAAAATATTGAGCTGAGTAACCCATCTGGATGAAAGGCAGGTTAGGATTTAAGCTCAGTTCAGGTAAAAGTGCCAAAAGAAATGCCTCAGCATAGGTGCAACCTGCAGTAGAAGATTCTCAGGATGTTATTTAAAGACACATAATAGATAGACCTCTGGTGAATTTAATTTGTTTGTGACTGTTGAGTAGAAGGGTCTAGCATTATCCCAGCTTCATCATCATCCCAGTGTTGTTTAGTCACAAGAATAATCATAAAATACAGACCCCAAGAAATCAGAACAAATTAGATAAATACAACTGTAAGAAAAATAATCAGCACAGATTGGCAGTTGTGTCCTAATTTCTGCATACTTCAGTATATATCACACAATGTTCCACTTAATTACTGGAACCAATAAAGAAACATACTGGAGGACTGTTCTTCACATTATTGTACTGAAAAGGTAATGTTAAACTGAACATTGTTCAACCTACTTGCTGCTCCCACAATATGTATTTGCTGATATGCTTGAAGTCATGTGCCAGGCTAACACCCTGTGCATCAAATTAATGCCTAACTATTTCTATTTTTACTGTCTGGGAAAGGTAAAGCAGCATCTGTTCGGAATCTGGCCAAATATATTAAGAGATTAGATATTTAGATAGCTAGAGGGCTAAATTCCTCCCTTTGTATGACCTAAATTCCCTGTGCATAAAATATTCTGGAGATGGGAAATAAAAGCAGGGACAGGTTTTGTAGGTTTCCATAGCTCACTAAGAAAGTCAGTGGCATAATAGGGACAGGTTTTCCTATCCCAGTTTGCTGCTCTAGCAAATTAAAGTAGCCAGCCTTATGTATTGGAATTTGTTATCTCCCAGTATTTTGGGTATTTGGGTAAGGAAATTTTTTAATAAATATTTTTAAGTATTCTTACTTTGAAATGACCTATGCATTCATAATATTTTTTTTTCTGTAAATAAACCTACTGAGATTCTGCTAAACTAGTATATTTACAGAATTGCATTACTAGGATAGCATTGGCATGTTGATAATGTCAAAACATTAATCATTACCTTTTACTTGTATCTATAGTTCTGGACATCCTGACATTTTATGGCTCCTCTTTACAACTGTGAGACTATAACAGAAGCTCAGTGTAGTCTCAGTTACAGAATTTTCAAATAACAGGTTTTAACATAAGGAAATGACATCTTCTGCAGTCATCTGTGATATTGCTGTCTCAGACATCTATCCCTTGGCCTCTACTCCAATGTGAATTGGTCAGCGCACAGTGTGTTAGAAAGAAGGAGAAAATAATATGTTCTGAAAGATCTTCAGTCTTTTGCCCATAACCTAAGCCAATAGCCTAGAAAAGCTTTTAAGAAAAGAATTTGGACAGTCTCCAAGCCACACAGAGCCCAGTGGGAAACAAATAAACCTAAAAGTAACGAGATAAAAAATTTCAGTAGATTCGAATCTTTATCCAATTAACAGATAAATTCTACCTAACAGCCTCCAAATTGCAGAAAAATATTTTAGAAAAAGAACTACTACCCTCCAGAACAATATTTTATTTTGTCTGGTTCACCAGGAAATTTTTATTCCAAAAATTCTCTTTTAATCTTCAGATTTCAGTCTTCTGAGTTGTTATCAGTGATGCTTTGAGAAGCTCATAAACACATCTGATCTTATAAAAGAGAATTTTAAAATCTGATTTCCAGTAGGACAAACACACTAGCTCCAGCTGATGGAAATGAAGCAATATGTGTTCAGCTCTCAAGTGAGGAGTTATATGACTTCCCAACACCTGCATGCCCAACATGATTACAGTCAGAAAATGGGAATACTTCCCCCTCCATGTTGTAGTGAGGCTTCTTCACTCTTCTTTCAAGGAAAATTTTAGTAGTCCTGCTTCCTGCATTACTTCTAGTCAAAATTCTTTGTACGTTTGAACTCCAGGATAGTCCATACCTTTCAGTTATTTTTCAACATTTCATAGAATCATAGGATAATTTAGGTTGGAAGGGACCTCTAGAGGTCATCTGGTCCAACCTCCTGCTCTAAGCAAGTCTAATTAGAGGAGGTTGCTCAGAGACTTCTTCAATCAAGTTTCAAACACATCCAAGGTTAGAGATGGCAGTGACTCTCTAAGCAATCAGTTCCAGTAACAGTTGAAATAAGCAATTTTTCCAGGTATCTTAATTGAAATTTCATAACATCCAACTTGTGTCCACTGCCTATGCTCCTAAGCAGAAGTAATTTAACACATACGTGTTTTAGAATTGGCCTTCAGAGTTTGGGCCTGGACTGCAGTTGCTCCTAGCAGTTCTCAAACAGCTTCAGCAGTTCGGAAGAGGCCCCTGTGGTCATTAGGCTGAGACGACGTTCAGTGTAGGGCAATTCTTTAAAGAGAGAGAGGAGTGCTCTGCTTCCACCCACTGGCCTGGTCAAGTGGCCATTCAGCAGTGGATGCACAAGAATTTTTTTTATTTTCTTTCTCTCACTCCTAGAGATTTGAAAAGTAAATTATGTCTGTTCTGCTTTCTGTCTTGACTATGAAGCCCATATTTCCATATGCAGAATAGCAGCAGAGACGTTAATGTCCCTCTTGAGGCAAACCAAAACAAACAGTGTCATTACTGTCTTTTTACCCCATTTCCCTACCAATCTCTGTTTCCATCCCCAAAGTCCATAACAAAAAAGATTTTCTTCTGGGCTAACGTCTATCTTGGTATCAGTCAGACCATGACTGTTGAGTGTCTGCAGTTTTCTGGAGGGAGATCTTCGTATCGCAGGTACTGAGTGGTTTCTCATACAGTCAGATTTGCCTTGTTTTCATGCTAATTGAGGAATTCCTCTTTCCAGCAGGAACTTTGCATATTTGGTCTCAAGCCAAGAGGAGCTTGAGTAGAAATTGTTTCAGCAACTTTTTGTTACATATATTTCTATTTTTACTTCTACATTGAGAAATTATTGAAACAGTAACTCCTTTAGCAACATGTCTGGTCCCTGTTGAATATGTACAGCTGCAGCTGTTTACTTCAGTAATTTAGACCTTGATTCAGGAACATATTTAAGCGTATGGTTAACTTAAACCAGAGGAGCAATTCCCTTAACTTGAGGGA